AAAAATTTAACGGTCAACTAACGATCAACTAGCGGAAAGGGCATGGAAGGGATCCAAACTAAAATTCAGGGGTATGTAAGGTATTGAGCAAAATTCAGGGATATAGAAGGGATTAGATGAACTTTCATGGGTACATAGGAGATTTTCTCAAAATAAAATGATGAGCAAACCTTCAGCGTATTGTCAAAAACACAAGAACAGCTAGTGCACAAAATAAATTCTAATTATCAAGCATTTTTACAACACTTGTCATGTCACTGCATTCATCATAAGAGTGCTCGTGCTACATATCCATAACCATGACCTCACTAAAAAAACACGCATGTTGAAACCGGTTATTACTACCGGTTCTAATTAAAAACCGGTAATAACAGTTTAGCATTACCAGTTCATATTGAATTCCCACCCTGAAGAATCTCTACTGTTCAACCCACAAACAAACAATTATATTGTGGGTTTTTATCAAAAATTGATAGTGATACTTTTCTAGATTCTATCTAAGCAAGGATGAATTTAAGCCACACACTGAGAGGGGGTGAGAGCCTCTTTAGATCCCCTCTTTCTTATCCAGACTGCTAGATCTAGCAGGGACTTCTTGCCTACAGATCTAGGCACCTGGAGGTGGTGGATGAGGGGTAGAGCACTAGGAGGCATGGCAGTGATGACGAAAGCCATGGCTCGGTGGCTTCAACAATGACCACCCCAGTGGATTCAAGGAGGTGGAGGATGATGACGTGTGGTAGCCTCCTCCTCTCCCACCGCCTCATCTCCCCTTCTTCGATTGACTAGATCCAACCGCCATTGTCTTATTTATCTAGATCTAGTCAAGGATGGAGACTAAGAGACATGTCCTTGGGATGCTAAGAAGTTAATTGGTTGACCCACGTCACGTCACCTATTCTAGCCAATTTCGGCTGAGGACGGGGGTACGGAGGAAAAGGGAGGTGGGAAGATGGCTCGCAAATGCTAAGTGCCAAGGTGGCAGTGCATATATTGTTAGGCAGTCGAGAATCATAAAATTTTTTAAACCCAACAAACTGACAATGACCATAATAAGAAGACAACAATAACAACAAACTTGCCTTCCTCATTCTCCTCTTCCCTCTCTCTCGTCCCTTCTCCTGACACGCTTGGATATGACCCCGTGCCACTTTCTCAAGCTAGCATGCTGGGAGGGGAAGGAAGAGGGAGGAAGGCTGGGGAGAAGGGAGGGGAGGGGTCAGCACTCAATAGCGACATCTGGCTTGGGTGAAGTTAGCAGCAGATCAACAAAAACAATAAATTAACATGAAATGAGCTGGGTGAAGATAGCAACAGATCGACAACTCATTTCGTGTTCATTTAATTGCTCTTGGAGTGTTGATCTATGTTGTGAATGGGAGTTCTGTTCTCTGTTCTTGATTGTTACTAATTGTGAATGGTTAATGTTGATTGTGAATTTGTGATAATCACTAGTACAAAAACCATTTTCCTAAACAATCAGATCCTATTTTTATGTGTGGTTAAGCTGCCCATCTGCCGGAATGTGTATGAAAAATCACTATTTTTTTATGCGGTGGAAAAATTGTGAATTTTTTTGTTATTTATTTTTTCTTTTCCACCAATAGGGACGTCGTGTAGGACCGTCGGCTGTTTTCAAACCCATGGTATCGGGGTGATTTTACGGTAGTACTATCTCCATCCTTAAAAGAGTCATGTCTTTTTAGGCATGAACCTGGTTTTAAGAGTGAGATTATCAATTGGCCACTTAATTAGTTCTATTTCTTTGGGTTGAGAAATAAAATGAGTTTATTTATCATTTACCGCATCCCTAGAAGCACATACTATAAATAAGAAGAGAAATTATACCGTCAAGTATCAAGAGATAATATCTACTATTATAAAAATTGAAGATGTTTTTGCCGGTATTTTGGTACGTCATCCGTGTATGAGTCAGTTTGATGTTCGTTCACTTTTGGAAATACATATCCGTATTTGACTCAGTTTTTAAGTTTATTTACTTTTGGAAATACATATTCATATAAGAAATCTCTTTTAGAAAAACGTGCATGCTAACTTGAGATGAACGAACTACTAACTGTAGCTTATGACTTTAAAAAAAGAAGCAAATATTAGGGAAGGACCTAATATCAAAAAATTAGAATGGGTGAGACTTCAAACCCAGGTCCGTCTAGCCCACCACCTTGTGGAGCTAGCCGGAAGACCCCTAGGTGTTTCTTATAGCTCATAATTTTCTAAAAATATATATATTCAAGCGAATTCCCACATTTAATTTCACCTTAACAAAACCATATAGCAATAATAAGATTAAAATAACCTTCACCTGTTGCAACGCACGGTTATTTTTTTCAAGTAATTTCTAACATTTAAAATTCGGTAGCTCTTAATTAATACCTACCACATATAAATCTGGTATCTTTCCACGGGGAGTAAAGTCGCTCAAATGGGGAAAATACGGAAAGCAATAAATTCAAAAACAAAAAATGCGTGGGATAATCCATAGTAGATTGATCATCTTAAGTTCCTAACTGTCATTTCATCGGACGGATACGTACTGATCGTACATTTTGGCCGTGGGGGGCTGGAAGTCGGCATGCGGAGACGTGGACAACTTGTGCATTCATTACAAGTTTACACATGTAAACTCTAGCTAGCTAGCTTAATTAGGCTGTGTTGGTTAGTTTGTGTTGGAAGCTGATCCCTCGCACACATAAAACATAACAATTCATTAGATTAATATGATTTTTAAAAATAACTTTTCTACAACTTGTTTTTTAAAAAAATGGAAAACGTACAAAGCGTCGACATTGTCGTGGCCGTGGGCTCGATCAGTACGATCGACGAGGGAGCAATTCTCGCAGATGGCAATTCGCTACTCGATCAGCCCGTTTCTTAGTTATGTCAATGACATGAACAATTCAACGATGGTTTTGCATTTGCCGTCGTCGTCACGTACACATATATGTACACGCGCGCATGTCGATCCTGCCGAAACAGAGCAGCAGCACTATATACGCATGTGGCCGTGGTTCGTCTTCGTGTTCCGATGGTGTTCATATTTACTTTACGCATGACAATTATAGCAAAAGTTTATCTGTGTAGCAGAACTCCATAACGTATCGTTTCGTCAGCGGTACGGTATGAGTAGCGAAAAGGGTTTGTTGGTACCGTACCGGGATTGCAGTTGCACTTTCGCTCGCCGGAAAAATTAAGGCGCTCGATCGGGTTGCTGTCGCGTCCCGCGCCGCCCGAGAGAGCAAACGTCCTGTGCAAACAGCGCACAGTAAGCCGTGCGCCGGGAACGTGCAAACGTGGTTGTTCCGCGCGTTAACGCGTCCGGCATCAGCGGTGGTGGTGTTCTCGTCGGCCGGTGTTGGCCTTCGCCTTGCCGCATAGGCCACTTAGCTCCGTTCTTTTCTTCGATAAGAATCGGATGAAGATTAAGATTTTTTTTGGCTAAACGTGTATTTCGTACGAAAACTTTTTATAAGAAAGTTGCTCTGAAATATTATATTAATCTATTTTTTAAGTTTGTAACAATTTAAACTCAATCAATCATACGTTAATACCATCTCGTTTTGCGTAAAAAACTTAATCTTCATCTTCATCTTCAAGAGAAAAGAACACCACCTTATACATGCAGCCCCATCTTTTCTCTTATTGATATGTTTATCCCAATTGTTTATTAATGAATAAAAATTTCATATGTTTACTCGAATCATTTATTATTAAATAAAAAAATATTTATGAGTAAAACTTTTATATATGTATGCTTAATGACTCAAAAGTAAATACTACAAAATAAACTACGATATACAGAGTTCCAAACATATTGTTTTCCTTATTCATATGTCTATCCGAATCGTTTATGACCAAATAAAAAAAATTATTTGTGACTAAAATTTATATGTATCTTTACAAACTCCAAAGCAAATGCTATAAAATAAACTACGATATATAGAGTTGCAAATAAACTTCAGATTGTTTGATCACGGGCGGGCAGTAAATCAACAATCTTAAACTCTTGTTCCTCACCTTTAGTTCAGAACTCATTGTAAGTAAACTCGATGACAATACGAGGGATCTAAGTAAACTTTTTTCCTTCTATATGTTTGCACTTACGTGGGCCGTATTTATGCTATGGGCTTCTTTCTTTTCGGGCCATGGTGCTTATCGACTTTTTATTTCTGGGATGGACGTGAATTTATTGTAGGCTGTGTTAAATCCGTTCAAAACAGAACTACAAAAGCGATGGTGTGCCGTTATTTCAGCTAAATTCATTGAGGAAAAAGTCTATAATACTTCCCTCAGCTATGGTTGGAAAATCCAAGCTTTCTTACTCGAGTGAAACCGGCACTAATAATTGAAGAAGGTTGTATGGGCTTGTTTGGGGAAGCTTTAAATTCTGAGAAACAGCTGTTTGGTAGCCAGCTTCTAAGAATATGGAAAATCTTTGAAACCCAGCTTCTCCAGCTTCTGGCTTCTTAGTTCATTTTTCAGAATCTGTAACTACATATTCTCAGAAGTTGTGGACTGTTTAGGGCAGCTTTTAGTAGAAGCAACTTTTGGAAAAAGCTACAGCTGGGACAAGTTCTCCAAACAGGACCTATATCTAGTACTAGTATAGATTTTCCATTGCTTGATGGCCACATTTTCTATTGACCAATCGTACGTGGGCCGATATACCCATGGACCATGGGAGAGGAAGTAGACTAACACCAGTGCCCACATGGCCCACATTGCCCCAGCCCAACCACACCGGTGAAACTGAGGGGCTGTTTGGTCGGTGGGCTCAGTTTGCCACACCAAACCTTAGGCGTGGCAGAATTTTTCAGGCTAGTGTTTGGTTGCGTGCCGCAATTGAGTCAATCCACACTTTATTAGCACATTGGCCCACACGTAATACTCTCATTTGCTAGCTAAAGTTTGCCATAATTGTGGCCAACAAATTGTTGGCCACACTTTATAAGGCTTGCCACAATTATGGTAAATCGAGTTATGGCAAAGTTAGTCTCAATCCAAACAGCCCCTGAAACCCAACCTCCGGCGCCCGGCGGCGTCGCGCAACCGCTCGGCATGCCGCCGCCCGCCCCCGCCCCCGCCACGCTCGCCTCCCTCAGCGCGCTCGTCACCTCGCTCGCGCGCTCGGGCCGCCCCGCGGACGCGCTGCGCGCCTTCCGCGACATGCTCGCGCGGGGTGTGCCGCCCGACCACTTCACCCTCCCACCTGTCCTCCGCTCCTGCGCGCTCACCGGCTCGTCGCCGCTCGCCGCCTCCGCCCACGCGCTGGCCCTCAAGATCGGGGCCCAGGGTAACCTCTTCGTGGCGTCCGCGCTGGTGCTCTGCTACTCGGGCCTGTCCAACCTCCCCGACGCCCGGAGGCTGTTCGACGGAATGCGCGAGCGAGACGCCGTCCTGTGGACCTCCATGCTGTCCGCGTACGCTCAGGGCGGGCATCCCGAGGCGGCGCTGCGGTTCTTCCAGGGGATGGTGGCGGCCAGGGTGCAGCTTGACGCGGTGGTCATGGTCAGCTCACTTCTCGCCTGCGGACAGATTGGGTGGCGCCGCCACGGGAGGAGTGTTCACGCATGCTGCATTCGGAGGCTCCCTGGGATGCCTCTGTCGCTTGGGAACGCGCTCGTGGACATGTACGTTAAGTGCGGAGAATTTGCGTTCGCCGAGAGGGTGTTCGCAGGGATGCCCAGGCGGGATGTTATATCCTGGAGTGCGCTTATTCTTGGCCATGGTCTGAATGGGCGTTCTGATGTTGCATTGAGGCTTTTTGATGAAATGGCTGCTGAGGGAGTGAGACCGAACTCTGTCACTTTTCTTGGGGCACTGTCAGCTTGTGCGCATTCTGGCATGGTTGACAAAGCTTATGCAATATTCGAGGGGATGAAACGGCATGGCGTGAAACCTGAGCTCAAACACTACTCTTGCATGGCTGATGCGCTAGGAAGGGATGGCCGTGTTGTTGCTGCAGTTAAGCTCATAGAGGAAATGCCTTTCGAGCCTGATGAGGCCATGCTTGGAGGTGTATTAGCAGCCTGCCGAGTGCATGGGGAAATGGAAGCTGCTGAACGAATTTCAAAGAAGTTGATGGGCATGTCACCTTCAAAGAGTGGTTACTTCATGAGCTTGGCAAACATATATTCAGATGCTGGGAGGTATAGTGATGCAGAGAGAATAAGAGGCTTCATGAAGGAAGTAAAAGTTGACAAGCTTCCTGGATATAGTTCAGTTGAATTTGATGTTAATGTCTCTGAACCAAGATCTGGATGATCAATTTCATATAATGGATGCAGATTTTGTATTGCTTAGCAGTTAAGTGTGTCTGGTGATATACACTCAGTGCAATATATAATTTGAAGGTAAATATAGGTGCTTAATGAAAGGAAGAGCAAATGGGACATGTTTGCAACTCAAAATATCAACATCATGACTTAATGGAAGCCCTTTATACATGAAAGTACGTTTGAGCTACTGTGTTAGTGCTGACATGAAATAAGCCACTTCTCAAGCTGATAAGGACAATAGGTTGATGAAAAAAGGAAAATGATGATCACATATTAGAAACATGCAGTACTCCTGCATGTCACTAAGGAGTTAGGAGTATGGAGAGAAACAGTCCACTATGTGTGGCTCTTGTTTGTCAAGTTACCAGTGTGGGTGAAAGACTGAAACTTCTGAACAAGATGGTCTCCAATTTAAGTTGAGCTATCTCATGTACTCATCATCATTGCCCTTAAGTGAGTATACTCATTGGGAATGTAGAAAATGGTAGAGTTTATCCATTAATTCAGTTTTCTGCCCGTGGTCTGATGGAAGGGAACTGGAGATAGGAAATATTAGTTATGGATTCTATTGACTGTTAGTTATGGATTTGGTCACTACTGGACACTGTGGTAGGTTAAAACTGTGCTGCTGTTCAAAGAGTTATGTGATTCTTAAATACTACAATTCTATGAGACGACAACCTTTAGTTGCTCAATTTTACAGTCCTTGATCTGTGAAGAATGAAGAGTACTCTTGTGCAAATGGTTAGATCTCTACATGATTAGCCAACATCCAACAGGTACGTAATTGAACTCGACTTGCAAACATTTCATTCATCTATTCATGCCAGTGCTCTATCCATCAGTGTAAATCAAGTGCCTTCCCGCATCTTTGTTCTACTTGATGGTATATATGTTGATTGCAGCACTAGTCTGTTAGTCATGATTTTACTGAGCAACTTCTCTTAAAAACCAGAAAGGCAGAACAAACAGAACACAAGGCTAACCAGACTAACAGAATATGTGCATGATGTTTATACTATTCTTTTCACCACAGGTAAAACACAAAACTGAAAAAGCCAAACGATATATTTACAAACGAAAATTAATCTGTAAATAAAAATTTTATATACGTGTTCTTAACGATCTAAAATTAAAGGCTGAAAAATAAACTTCGATTGAAAAAAACCTCAAAAATCAACTTCAAATTTAAGGTTGAAAATTTAAATTTTGGCTGATAAACATAAGTATAAGCGGAAAGACGAGGCTAGCATGTTTGCACGTTGACCATATCTAAGGCTGAAAAATAAACTTCGATTGAAAAAAACCTCAAAAATCAACTTCAAATTTAAGGTTGAAAATTTAAATTTTGGCTGATAAACATAAGTATAAGCGGAAAGACGAGGCTAGCATGTTTGCACGTTGACCATATCTCACAGTTAGCGTCATGACGTCGTCTTCCTTACCCTATAACTATGTAGGCAGCGTATCCTATGGAAACCAGACATCCTGTGCAAACTTTGAAAACTCCAATCAAGATCTCTGGATGGGCATCCGATGGAAATTGCTGTATATACGATAAACTTGTTACGATCCAGTCATGCATAATAAATGATTGGGCCATGGAAACATTGTGGACCCTATATTTGCTGCATGCATTAGAGGTTAGAAGGCATCGTACACTAATCGTACGATGTTTATCGTATGTATAGCAGAGCTCGGCATCCGATGGGTAGGGGTGGAAGTGGGACAATTTTGCAAATAACTGCCCGCAATTAGCCTTGCTATGTCCTTAACACATGCATGTCCAAAGAGATGGAGTGATCGAGTTCCATTAAAGGCCTGTGGTTTAACACCGTGCCTTTCTACTTTTCCGAAGTGGTATGCTTAACCTCATTTTTTGCAGATCAACCCCGAGAGATTTGATAATTTAACACTCCTTTAAATGGGTTTCGATTATTTGACATCCTGGCCCACTTTTATTCACTCGGATGGTCCCACATGTCATCTTCACAAGTGTCAATTAAAGCAATTAGGCAACGAAAAAAATGTCAAATTATCAAATTTTTCCCGGTGCCCTGGACGCGTTGTCCGCGTCGCTTCGTTTCGACTCCGCCTCCCGCGATTCAAGACGACGCCGTCGCCGCCCAATGAATCGCCAGACGCCGCCGGGGTCGCGGGCCTCACATGATGCCGCCGACGCCCGCCGCCCCTTCGTTTCTCGCTGCGTCGTCGTTCCTTCGCGAGTCGCCCGCGCCCGCCCGCCCGTGAGTTGGCGGCGCAGTCCTTCTCCGGCAACGGCCCCTGGCACCGTCGCGTGAGCGGTGGCGATGGAGTGTAGCAAGGCCGGGACTGTGAACGGTGGTGAAGAGAAGGTGGCCATTGGCCGAGTGGAGATGCCGCGGGCGCCGAGCTGGACAGAGACGATTGTGCAGATATTCAAATAACTCAAAATGGAATGTGATTAACTCAAAATTGACCTGGCAAGTACATGCAGCACAATTGATCTGAAAATTAGGAGCAATAAGCTGAATGATGTCACTAGTAAAAAAAAGTGTTTACAAGAAGCATTCCATGGCGGGCGCCGCACAAGAGTACATTGCTCAATTCATCTTAAGAGTACATTTAACAGCAGAAAACAAACAACAGCAGAGCTTCAGCTTCATGGCCGTGATGAGCTTCAGCAGACAAGCAAGAGGAGGAAGGAGGAGCACGAACAGCAGCTCATCCCAGGTGGGCAGCACCAGGGGCCCCATGGCCGTGATGTTGGCCTTGAGCGCGTCCCTGTCGTATTCCTGGAAAACGCACTGGTAGGCGGCGTCGACGCGCGCGCCGGAATCCATGGCGTCGCTGGACACGCGAGCATACTCGATCGCAGAGTCCATGGCATTGCCGGGCTCCATCGCGTTCGCGGCGTCCGGCGATTCACTGGGCGGTGTCGTCGTCGTCTTGAATCACGGGAGGCGGAGTCGAAAGGAAGCGACGCGGATGACGCGTCCTAGGGCGCCGAACAGGGTTACTGCGGGGGTTGATTTGCAAAAAAGGAGATTAGCAAGGCTAATTGCGGGCGGTTATTTACAAAATTGTCCCACCTCCACCCCTATCCATCGGATGCCCATCCAGAGATCTTGATGGGAGTTTCCAAAGTTTGCACAGTATGGTTGGTTTCCATAGGATATGCTGCCAACCATGTAAGTACCCGACTTAAGACAAGTAGTCTGTCTGCTTTTCTAATTTCCTGTACATAGCATTATTGAAGAAAATACTAACACAGCTTACCTTGGGTTCCCATCCAATTCTCCTACATATTCCGCGAAATTTCCAATGGAGTTCTGAAATATTTTTCCCAGCCACAAAGTGTGTGGCCTGGTCAAGACAGTTTTCAAACGGAAAGGAAAGGAACATGGCAGATAGAAGATCCCTTTCATGTCTATATTCATAATTAGGTAGACTACTTACAACAGAATATTTGCTGCAAAATCTTGGTTTTAAACTTTAAACTACTACTCTGTACTCGTGTAGCAGACTACTGCACTTGTAGGTGTTAATACTATATATGCTGTTTGCCTGTCAGGTGGTAAGCACCTTTCACCTTCTGTAGAGTCCGAGATTGGGAATTTGGGATGAATCGATTGAGGGAGTGCACTGCCACAAACAGACGTCCATGCACTACTGCCACGAACAAGTTATAGGAAAATGACATTTTGTGACACTGAGTAAATTATGTACTGTAGTGCAGGTTTTTTCCTCTTATTAGTTTTTTTATTCCCTTTATTAGTTTGAAAATCATGGACAATTTTCCCTCTTGCCTTTTAATTGAAAATCATAAATTATGTTTTTTTATCACATAAACGACGTCGCCACATTTTTTTCTTTTGCGGTGTCCATATTTTGTGTGCAGTGACCACAGGCGCCAATCATTTTGCTCCTTTCCCCACCTTTTCCCTTACGGCCTGTTTAGTTAGAGGGATAAGGCTATTAAGTGTTTTGTTTGGTTGGGAAACATGGAAATTTTGGTAGGATGGAGATGGGGAATTGAGGAAGGAACTCTCTCCTTTTCAATACCTGGGTAGGGGCAGGTAATTGGGAGGGAATTCCTTTTTTACTTTGTCTAAGCAAATCTCATCCATCCGTTTTTTTTAATGATCCAATCTCCAACTAAACTCCCTATCAATTTTCATCGCCTCTACCAAACAAGATATTGGGATTAAAAATCAAATTCCCATCTTAATCTCATCATCAATTCCCTCATGTAAACTCCCAATCCCTTTCCCTCAGGTTACCAAACAGGCCGTTAAGAAAAGATGGTGCAAGTATTCCGCATCTATGCAATTTCCTTTATACTTCTTCACAACTTCCATCTTTTGACGAGTTTGGAATCGTAGAGTTGCGCTAATTCAGCTTTTGGGCAGTTTGTGTATTAAACTGACAAAGCTGCACTGGTGTCAAATATTTTTGGATGGATGCAGTATTTGTTAGCTTTATAATATACTCCATCCATTAGTGTTATAAAGTTTAACTCATAAAGTACAGCATCTTCTCCCCCGTGTCGCTCTCCCCCAGGGGCGACTCGCGAGACCAACCCGGTCACCCCCTCCTCCCCTCCCCCACCTTCCTCCTCCGCCTCGCCGCTGCCCGAGTGGCCGCCGGCAAAGCCGCGTGGCCGCAAGGACGGCGGCAGCGGGGCTTCACGCCTCTCCTTGCGCGAGCAGCAAGGGGAGCCTCTAGTGCGGCGGCGACGGTGACCGCCAAGTCCGCGCCACTGTGGCCGGATCTAGCGGGGTGGCGGCTGGCGGTGGGGACAGCGACAGCGCAGGGCTGGAGACGGCAACGGTAGGGGCAAGGGGGGTGTGGGCGACGACGGCCAGAATGGCGACGACGGCGGTGGAGATGGCGGTGGCGGCGGGGATGGCGACGACGGCAGGGTTGGCAACGGCGACGGTTTGGCGTCAGCGTGGCGGATCCGGCAGAGTCGGAGGTGGATCCGACGGCCAGATCGAGCGACCGTCGCGGCGGCAGTACGGAGCGCGTGGGACAGCGGCGTGGAGCTCACTGCCGAGCGGCGGCCGGTGGCTGCAGGTCGGTAGATGGCTGGTGGAGTCAGCGGGTGGCCGGTGACATCAATGGATGGAGGTGCGGCCGGCAGCGGTGGTGAGACGATCGCTAGCGGCGGCAAGTGGAGGCGTGACCATGGCTGCGGTTGGAGGAGGCATGGCGGTCTCGGACGGCTAGCCGGCGGCAAGGAAGACGGCCGCATCTGGCCGGCGCGACAGCGATTGTAGGAAGGTCGGAGGTCGGCTTGACGCAGTCGATGGCGGGAGGCCGGATTGGCGCGAGAGGCGCGTCCGGTGGAGGAGGTCGGCACGGCGTGAGAGGCGCTGCTGGGGGCGACGGAGGCCGGCTTGGCACGAAAGGCGCGGCCGTGGGCTGGAGGCCAGATTGACGCGAGAGGTGCATCCGGTGGAGGAGACCGGCGCAACGCGATGAGGCGCGGCCGGTGGTGAAGGAGGCGACCACGGTGCAAGGAGCTGCTGGCGGGTGTGGCGCAGTCTTTGGCGCGTGAAGGCTGGCCGGCAGGGGGCACCGGTGCAGTGGCCCCACATGTCGGCAGAGTTTGAACAGTGGTGGAGCATCGGTGCATCAGCGTGGACTCGCAGGTGGTGAGCAGCGGGTGAAAACCCAGCTCGGCCTTGGCCGGGCCAACAACGATGGTTCATTCCCCCTCCTGAGGGCATTGTCGTGTCGTCTCACTCCTTAAGGGGGGTTGCCGGGTGAAAGCCCAACCTTGGCTCTTTTGAGACCCTAACGGACGGCGGTGGCGGTTTTCCCGTCGCTTCTCTCCCTTAAGATGTCGTCTAGGCATCCCCTTGCCGAAACCTCTTGAACGATTGGTGCAAGCGCGCTCTAGATAGAGTTGGGCTTTGTGTTGGTTGTAAAGGCGTTTTTTTGGACGATCTTGTCTATATTCCTTTATTGGCCTAGTGGCGGTCGGTCACGCTTAACGGCGACTGGTCCGGTGCTAGCCTTCTCCCGGACCTGTGTATTGGCGTTGTCGGTGTGTGGGTGATGATATATTTTTCTTTTTCCTAGTTACGACCTTCCAGAGTTGCAATCTTGTAATTTTTTTCCTACTCTATTCGGTGTAAGTCGTTCAAAACAAAGTTAACTCATACAACAATGTGACACACGAGTCGGGTAGTAGGAACTGTGTTTTATGTTTGTATTAGGGTATGATATCTATACCACTTTAGAAAAAATAAATAGCTTTAAAAGAAATAAATGGTAAAGACTGAGTGTTAAATTTTCCACCACCGCTATAAGCAATATCTTTTGTGAACGAAAAAGAAGAAGAAGAGTGTAGGTGCATATAGTAAAAAATATATATATTCTCGTATATATAAACAGATATAGCATCATAGCTGTAAAGTAATGTTCTCAAAAAAAAAACAGTAAAGTAAGGCCCGTGGATAATCGTTGACGTCTTCACGCCCTCCATATAGTACTACACCTAAAATATTGGGAATACTTCCTAAAATATTAGGAATGCTTGTCTTCGCTTCAAGAGACTTTACTAGCTTTAGCAGAAGCGCTGAATGTGTCTTTCTGACTACTAACCTGCCAATTTTCCACTTTGCTTCCATTAAAGTAGTCAGGGGTATAACTTAGTCCAGTTGACGAGAGGTGTAATCCGTGTGCCCAAGCCCAACCCAAGTTATCATGCATAAACATTATTCCCCTCTGTCCTTCACCCTAAAGACTAAAGTTCTAGTCCAAAAATTTATCCAAAAAACTATATTTTTAAAGTGAAGTTCACTAAGGCTCTGTTCGTTTCAAGGTGATAGGGGAGATTGAGTCTCGTTTTTCGCGCGCACGCTTTTCAAACTACTAAACGATGTGTTTTTTGCAAAAAATTTCTATAGAAAAGTTGCTTTAAAAAATCATATTAATCTATTTTTGAAATTTAAAATAGTTAATACTTAATTAATCATGAGCTAATAGCTCACCTCGTTTTACGTATCTTCTCAATCTCCTCAATCCCGTTCTACTCAAACACACCCTAAATCTCTTTACTATTACATCCTTTTCTTCTCGTTTTAGTCATCGAATCAGTAATACCCACTTCTCGTTTTCATTCTACATTAATGAATGGTACAGTAGTATTTTAATCTCCTGCTTAATTTGTACATTGGTGAATGGTGACCACAACGACTGACCGACTTATTCAAGAGACCCAACATACAGTAGTACTACTAGATAGGCTGATGGCGATTACTCTGATGCTTTACTGTAGCCCCACTAATCCTGTCCCTCCTCTGGTCCGTCCAAAGCTCCAAATCCATACGACCCTGCACCTGCTGCCTGATCGAATTTGGAGTGCTAAAGACGATTCGAATAATTCACCTTATCGCGCGATCCGTCCCCACGGTTTGCACAAAAAGGGCCGCACGAGTCACGCACGCGCACAGAAAGACTTGCCTGACTGAACTTCTGACCTGATGAAGAAGAAGAAGCAAAGTCGTGGAGCAACTGTGGCGCACAGCGGTGAAAATGCAGATCAGTGTGGCAATACTGTGTCCGGTTCAAAAAATGTGATTAGAACAGTAGTAGAAAGGTCTGGTCCACGTCCATATCATCACTGTGCCCGGTTTCAAAAATGTGGAACGGTACTGTAGCATTAGAACGGTAACAAACGATCTGGTCCGACCCATCCATATTAGATCCAACGGATATAAGGATGTTGTTCATTCTCTACCTTCAAATTTTTTATTCATTCTTTACTATTTCGTCCTTAAAAAAAGATAAACCTAGGTTTGTAATTAGGATTGGTTTTTATTTTTTATGGAGAGAAAAATTCGTACTCCAGATGTAAGTACTTGCGTCCTGTTTGGAACTTACCGTACGAATTCTACAGAAATTACTTTGTCTTTCGCACGAACTGAAAAAAAAATAGCTTTTCAAACAACAGGTTGGGGAGGAGATTTGGAGGTACATGATACAGGAAAACTCATTAGCATATAATTAATTAAGTATTACCTCTTTCATTCTAAAATAAAATAAGTAACAAGAGGGTTACATTTATTTCGGGACGAGGGAATAATTATTATAAAAAATAGATTTATTATATATATATATATAGACATTTTTTAATAAGAGACATCATTTTTTTTTAGTTCGGTAAGTTTAAACAGAAAACGAGAAAATTGTTGTTTGGAGTTCGATTATAACTCAGCATAGTAAATGTTCCCTGTTGTTATTCTCCGATCGACCTAACCTGCAAAACACTGAAGTCCTTGGTCATGAACGCCCTAGTTCATACGGATTAAGATTCAGATTCACGAACGGATTAGTGATATACTTCTTGGCTTCTTGCTGTATCCACATGGCCACAGGCCACATGTAGTAGTATGAAACTTGAGGACGACCTGATCATTTCTTGCAATCTCGTCTATAACCACCAAAGTCAATATAATTTTCGCAATAAAAAAAGAACACTCGCTATTCGGTTGGTCTAGTCGCTCTACAAGTCCACACACGACCCTACTCCTAACCTGTCAAGTCTCCACCACTCTGCAGCAACTCTGCTTGCGAATCCGGGAAAATTTTGCTTGGCAATCGCCGTGATATTCCGTGCGAAACTTCCCAGTAGTACAATCGGCAACTGCAACACGGAGCCACTCGGTCACCGGCAATAAAACCCTCGCCACTTCATCCATCTCTCGCACCGCGCACATCGAATCGCATCGCACACACGGCGGAAGCAACGCCACTAGCCTGACGTACGTACGGCAGCAATGGCCATCGCCACCGAGTCGCAGCAGGCGCAGGTGCAAGCCGCCGCCACCGACGCCGTCGCGGCGGCGGCGGTCGGGCGCAAGGTGGTGGACGAGGTGTCCGGCTGGCTGCGCGTGTTCGACGACGGCACCGTCGACCGCACGTGGACGGGTCCCCCCGAGGTGCTCCCGCTGATGCAGCCGGTGCCCGCCTACGCCGAGCCGCGCGACGGCCACACGCTGCACGACCTCCCCGGCGAGCCCAACCTCCGCGTGTACCTCCCCGAGGTCGCCCTCGCCGAGCGGCGCCTCCCCGTCGTCGTGCAGCTCCACGGTGGCGGCTTCTGCATCTCCCACCCGTCCTGGCTCATGTACCACCACTTCTACGCGCGCCTCGCGTGCGCGCTCCCGGCCGTGGTGGTCGCCGTCGAGCTGCCCTTGGCGCCCGAGCGCCGCCTGCCGGCGCACATCGACACCGGCGTCGACGGGCTCCGCCGGCTCCGCTCCATCGCGCTGTCCGACGCCGCCGCTCTCGGCGACCCGGCGGCGGAGCTCCTCCGGACGGCCGCCGACTTCTCGCGGGTGTTCCTCATCGGGGACAGCTCGGGCGGCAACCTCGTCCACCACGTCGGCGCGCGCGTCGGCGAGGACGGGGCGGACAGCTGGGCGCCCCTCCGCGTCGCCGGAGGCATCCCGCTCCACCCGGGGTTCGTGCACGCCACCCGGAGCAAGTCGGAGCTGGAGCCGAGGCCCGACTCGGTGTTCTTCACCCTCGACATGCTCGACAAGTTCCTCGCCATGGCGCTCCCCGAGGGCGCCACCAAGGACCACCCGTACACGTGCCCGATGGGGCCGAACGCGCCGCCGCTGGAGTCCGTCCCGCTGCCGCCGCTGCTGGTCGCCGTCGCCGAGCACGACCTCATCCGGGACACCAACCTCGAGTACTGCGACGCGCTGCGCACCGCCGGCAAGGACGTGGAGGTGCTGGTCAACCGCGGCATGAGCCACTCCTTCTACCTCAACAAGTACGCCGTCGACATGGACCCGGCCACCGGCGAGAGGACCCGGGAGCTCGTCGACGCCATCAAGAGCTTCGTCGACCGCCACTAGACGTGGAGATCAGAGAAGCGCATCTTCTCCACCGTACGTGTAGCACCTTCCAGGTTGTGATTGTTTCTCGTCTCGTGTCATGACTGTCCGCCATACGTTGGCCTGAGCTTGACCTTGTGTGTGGCTTGCTGTCCATGTCAAGCCGATATCATGTACGCATCAGTGTTTAGGTACGCGTTTGAGTAGTTACAAATAAATAATTGGATCATTCCCGAACAGTGGACTAGTTGAAGACTTGAAGTTGATAGGTCGAGTGTGTGGAGTGTCCAATGATAAAGGGTGGCATTGCATATTTGCATGTGCATTTAAATCTTTAATTACTCTATCCGCCATATAATGTAAGGTATTTGGTATTTTGGTCTTCAAATTTGTATCAAAATATAAGAAATTTTATGATCCCAAAATAATTATTTATTCTCTCACATATATCCGCTTTTGTACAGTTTATTCCTTCGACTGCCCAGTTTTGTACTAATTTATTCTATATCCTATCATATTTTGTACCATTATTTGTACTTTTGCTAATTTCTTAATTTTTAAAATAAATAATCCTTATATTAGGCTACAGAGGGAGTACATGCTTATTAAATCAGGAAAGAAATTTCCAGTTGTTCTAGCCAGTGGAGTTGTGGATTCGCACAACTTTAACCCGACCATTAGAATCAGTAATATATGAGCCTATTTGCTTTATATATAAAAAGCAATGATTAAAATCACCATTGATATTATTGATATTATGTTTAACTGGTAACTCAGACAAGCATGGTGTTGGGAAACAGGGACTAGTCACTGTCACATCGGATATTTAGACACATATTTAGAGTATTAAATATAGACTAATAATAAAATTAATTCATAAATGAGAGCTAATTCGCGAGATGAATTTTTTAAGTCTAATTAATCCATTAATAATTATGGATTAATTAGGCTTAAAAAATTCGTTTCGTGAATTAGCTCTCATTTATGAATTAGTTTTATTATTAGTCTATGTTTAATACTCCAAATTAACGTCTAAACATCCAATATAACAGGGACTAAAAAGTTTAAAAAGTTTTAGTCCCATCTAAACACCCCTAATTCTACTTCATCTTTTCTTCCTTAGCATTCACCATCTTTCAGCATTGCACCCGAAAAAATAATCAAGCATGAAGTACCTAGATTGCTCATCATTATCAGTTGACCTGGTTTTCTACTTCCTTGATCTGATGGCCCACATTTGCTTTTCTTGTTTTGTCTTTTTATCAATCTGATGATCCATATTTTTTTGCCACTATGGACCAATGAGGTGCTTTGAAACCATTTTGCTTTCAATACTTTAGATACATTTATAGGTTGTTTAAATAACACTAAGCTTAATTTTGTAATAATAATTAATCATGAGAACACCATTGACAGGTACATAGCTGAAGTGATATTAGTATCCACAACCTTAATACCTTTTTCTTAGTAGGCTCATGAGCCTTCTAGACTCTCCATGTTTTTTCTAAAAACACTACCACAGAAAAAGGTTTTAGTGCTGGTTGGGAAACCTCTTTCGGTGCCGGTTTTTCCAACCGGCACAAGGGAGGTGGTACTGATTTGAAAATTAAAAAGGTGTCGGTTCCTTAGAACCGACACCTTTTAGGTTCGACGAATAAAAAAAAAGCCGGCTCGATCGAGCCGACACATCGAGCCGAGCAGTCTACAACATTCATCCCACAACATTCAAAGATGGATTCATCCCACAACACAAATTTATTCAATGAAAAAAATCACACCACCACCGGAGAAGCGAGAGGGGAATGGTAGAGAGAGGGATTTGCTTGGCTTGGTGGCTTGCCTTGTTGAAGAAGATCTGGCCGCCGAATGAAGTCGTCATCGCACGGTCGGTTGTCTTCGAGCCGTCACGATGTCGCCCGCCGCTGTGTCTCCTCCGCGAGCCTGCCGCCCCTGCCGCTGCCTCCCCTCCTACCAGATCTGGCGGATGGGAGGGCTCCTCCCCGCCAGCAAGCCCTTTGTCACCTCCCCTCATCGAGCCCGCCGCTTCCCCTCCTCGAGCAACTCCGCTCGCTGTCGAAGCAGGATCCAGCCACCCCGTCCGCCGCCGACGCTAGATCTAGACACCCCGCCCGCTACCGACCCCGTCGGCCCCTCCTACCGCCGACTATGCCTGCCGCTAATGCCTCCCCTCCTGTCGCAGCCGCCTCCCCTCCCGCTGAATCTGGTGGAGGGGAGGGCGCGGTCGCCGCTGCCGCCTCCGCCGGCTAGTAGCCGGCAACGGGAGGGAGAGAGACGAGAGAAGAGAGCGAGACAAAGAAGAGGAGAAGAGGCGGGAAGAAGAGAGCGAGAGAGCGAGACCTTATCGCCTCGTCGTGGTGGGGCCCGCCGGCTTGGCTCCAGCTTGGCTTGGCTCGGCTCTATTTGGCTCGATTTTTGGGGTGTCAGTTTTTAATTAACCGACACCTATAATATATTATAGATGCCGGGTTTTTTTTAAAAAAGACACAAAATATAATAGGTGTTGGTTTTTGTTTAGAACTGACACCTATAATTACTTACTTAAAGGTGCTAGTTTTTTACGATTTCAACCCGTGGAGGTGGAAAAAGGCCTGTAGATGCCGGTTTTAGTACTACCAGCACCTACAGTGGCAACACCTATTTGATGTTTTATAGTAGTGAAAAAAAAGAAGAAGATCGCTACTTCCTTTATCCAACTGCTTAGATTTTTTCAAGCTATTTTGTCTCCACGTGAATCGAATGGTCATTATTTTGTTTTGTTGATTACTTGGCTCATTTTGGTGGGATCATGGGATTAGCTTTCCTTTTCAGTAATGTAGATGTCTCGCGTGCTATGGGAACGATTCATTGACACGGTCTGGATTCAGAATTGGTGTTGTTACATGAGTGAGCTTTTTCTTTCGTTCTGAAAGGAATAAAGTTCATTTTAGGTATCTTAACTTAAATTTATAGTGGGTTCGATTTTCGTTCTTGAACCGAAATACCAGATAAAATAGGTCCCTCAACTTACAAAACAAGTGCAAACAAGTTCCTTCAATAGTAATGTCCCTGATTTTGGCTAATATGATGCCAACGTACCTCCTTTGACTAATCTTTGTCACACGATGCCATTGATGTGGCATCTACGTGATAGTTACAACAGAAAATAATTAAAAAACTGGTGATGCGGCTGCCTATGGCCGTGCAATGCTCTCCTAGCTAGTCCTCACAGATCACATGGCGTCGCTCCCAGATGTCGACTAACCTCCCTCGCCGGACGGCGGTGATGCGCACCTAGACGGCGATGCGGTTGCCTGGGAGGGCGACCACACTCAGGGACGCTGCAGCGCGATGGCTCGTCCTGCCGACGTCGTTTGTTGCCTGCGATAGCACGAGGCACATGTCGTGTGGCACGGCGTCGGGAGTCTCATCAGCGACGCCTTCAGCGGCGGCGAAGCGACGTCGCAGCGTCCGCGTGGAGGATGTTCCCACTTGAGGACGAGGATTCGGTGACGCGAGTATGTGAGGCAGAGCCAGTGGACGGCGCCGCGCAGGACGACGGGCTTGGCGTAAGTAGCTGTGGAGCTCGCATTCCTGGAGAATGGCGCAGGCGAGAGGAGGGTCCCACCCGCCCTCATCAGAGGAGAAGACCTGGACGGTGAGCGTCCGAGGAGAGGTCTCTGGCAGGTGCGCGGTGAGTAGCTTGAACGACGAACGGCGAGCAGCTTGAATGAGAGCCAAATGATGAGTCTGACCAGTAAGTTTGTAAATTTGTTTTGTTATGACAATATAATTATTGGCCTCAATGTCATCCCCTCCAACCAGAGAGTAAGTGCGATGAACAATACGCGCCTTGGCGTCTGGACCAGGAGTAGCAATCGAACGTCAATGGAAGAGAAGAAAAGCTGCCGAGGAACAACGCCCTTGGACATCAAGGGGAATTGAGGATGGAGAGCTCCGTCCACTACAGCAGCGCCGCCATTGGCTATGGATGAAGAGGGGACCACCAAGGCTGATGAAAGGCAAATAGTTGGCGTCCACCATATCCCACTGGCGTCAGATGAAGTTCATGTTTTGGTGTTGAATGGATTTTGGTTTTGCTGAGAGAAGATTGTGGCAACGGGTCGGGTCAGGCATGGGCAGAGAAAAACAATACTCACTTGAATCATACCCAATAATTTTAGTGGACAAAACTTTGTGCCCATACACGTGCCCAATGGGCACGTGCATACCCGGAGGGCACCCGTCGTTGCACCGCTTACTCTGTAGCGCCACCCGCCGCCGACTCCACTGGAACCATTGCCTGCCACCGCCACTTGCTCGTGCCGCCGCTGTCGCTGCTTGCCCACGCGCTGCCTTGAGCCAATGTCGTCGTCGCTTACCCGCACGTGCCTTGAGTCGCCACCTCCGCCATGTGAGGTGGGATGGAAATTAGGTTAGGGTTTGATGTTGGGATATATATATATATATATATATATATATGTGTGTGTGTGTGTGTGTGTGTGTGTGTGTGTGTGTGTGTGTGTGTGTGTGTGTGTGTGTGTGTGTGTGTGTGTGGGGTTAATGGGCCAAGAGGAAGTGGTATGAGAATGCAAGCATGGGCCAAAATCAATAATACATACACCGGATCAGGCATGGGTTATCCGTGGGTAATAAATGAGACCCAGCTGCTACCCACCACATCGTCAGGTCTCGAGCAGGCGTGTCCACGGGTAAAATATTGCACCCATTCTCATACCCATCGGGCCGGGTAGACCTATGGGCAAAATTGCCTTACCTAGTTATAGGTTTGTCAATTGAGAGTACTCTGTCCCTCCAAAAATATAACTGTATTCCTATGTTACAAATTACTTATTTGTTCTAAATCAAACATTTTATCTTTAACCATAATTTTTATAAACTTTATATAATTTAGCATCATAGGATTTATATTTTTAAGTTTCACCAAAATATTAATTTCATAATATATTATTTACATGTTAAATTATACATGGATTTTTAAAAAGTAATGGTTAAAGATAGATATGTTTGACTTAGAACAAACGTAGAATGATATGTAATTTGAACCGGAGGGAGTATTATGTTTGAGATGATAAGATGGTTTATTTTGTTGGTCTTTTTTTAGATTTCATTTTACCTTTCAAAAATTTATGAATCATGACTGTACTCAGAGTTTTTCCACTAGTAGCTTACTAAACCAACAACATGGCCACGTCTATCTGGATGGTGCATAAAGCTAGCAATTTATTATGATTGTATCGTTATTTTTACATATATCATAATGCGCACTAAATATCTCCCTCTCTCTAAGGCCATCCCTAACCCTTCATATCATGTAGTGTAGCATTAAATACACTGTCACATAAGAAAAATCTGATGTGGTAAGAGAGTTAATGAGGAGAGAGGTAAAAAGATGAAGACACCTTCTTTACACAAGAAACAACTCAACAAAAATGAAAATAAGGGGATATATAGATAAAAAGAGATGGAGAGAGATGAGAGATGATTGGATGAGAATTTAATTTGAAGATTCAATCCATTGTATATATAGTTTTTATACATAGTATCTATATAACATAGCAAGTATGAAAACTAGTTGATATTTTCTAGTCTGGAGATGCCTAATAATTCAATCTTACGCACGAATTACGTGTAAACATTGTACCATGTGTCCATGTGGGCATGTGGCTCTTTGATTGAGCCGGTTGTGGGGATCAGTGACTAGTGTACTCCAACAAATAAAGTGGTCTGCGATTATCTCTCCACATGGCTACGATATATATCATGTTTATTTATCAAGGTTACCTTTTGCTGCATGATCATGATCATGAATTCATGATTGCCAAATTTGGATCCTACCTCAGTATCTAAATATACTAATTTTATCTCATGTACAACGGTCTTCATTAGTGGTCTCTCTCTGTTGCCATGCAAGTAAATTTGATGATATGGAAGAAAGAGAAAGAAGTATGGTTGTAATGCATGACAATGGCTCAGAGTCGACTCTTAGCATTTATTAGAGCAAATTTTGTTGCATGATAGTGAAAAAAAGGAAAGAAGAGTAAGAAAAAGTATTTGGATACATTAATGATTAGAAACCATATTGTCTCTAACTGTTGTAAGATGCTAGTCTCTAAATAATATAGAGACTCATATCTGACTCTATTTTTGTACATGCCCTAAAGGCTGTATTTTGCAACCATTATATTTGGCATGCACATGCACAGCTAATTACTTCGTACTCCGTAATTAACAACATTATCCACCCTGATAAAATTATCCTAATCTACCTCGTCACACCAACCCGCCGGGGCCGCCATTTTTGTGGACGGAGGAGAGCTCACACTCCTTCTCGTCATCGTCTTCCTCTGCCACCTCTAATGGCTTCATGGTGTAGAAGTGGAAGCAGACGAGGTAGTATCCAAGGTTGAGCACCATGAGGGTGGTGACGAGCCAGTAGTAGCAGTCCAGCCTGCCCCGGTTGATGTTGTCCTGGAGCCACTCGCCGCCGCCGCGCGTGGCGCGCTGCACCGCCGTGACGAGCACCGTGCCCATGTAGTTGCCGAGGGAGCTGGAGAGCCAGAAGAGCGCGGCGGCGCTGCTGCGCATGCTCTCCGGCGCCTGGTCGTACAGGAACTCCATGTGCGCCACCGACGAGAACGCCTCCGCCACGCCGTGGACGGCGTACTGCGGCACCAGCCAGAACACGCTGATGGGCACGACGGCGGCGGGGCTGTCGAGGAGGCCGTGGTCCGCGGCGGCGCCGCGGCGCCTCACCTCGACGAGCGCTGCCGACGCGACGCCGAGGATGGAGATGCCCAGCCCGATGGCCATGCGCTGGAAGTAGGTGATCCCGGAGGGGAGGCCCGTGACGCGGCGCGCCAGGGGCACGAAGGCGCGGTCGTAGAGGGCGAGGCCGGCGAGCATCGCCACCGTCGTGAAGATGGACATGGTCGCCGGCGGGATCTCCAAGCGAGGGGTGAGGTGGCGGTCCATGGTGCGCGCCTGCTGGATGGTGAAGGTGCCGTTGTGCGACGCGGCGGTGGCGAGCAGGATGCCGGCCGACCAGATGGGCAGCAGCCGGACGATGGACTTGAGCTCCTCCACGCGGTGCACCGTCGACAGCCGCCACAGGTCCGGCTCGCCGGAGCCGGCGATGTCACCCGGCGTCACGATCGCAGCTCGGTCAAAGAACCTGAACGAATTAGCACGGCACGGGACGGTTACTACAGCAGAAGGGGTTAATCACAAACGGCTCACAAGTATTTTTGATGGAACCGTCTATAATAGTCGTTCAGTTAATTAAGTCGAAAAATCAATTGTCTTGTTAGATCACAATAGACTGCTTAAAATGGTGGCAAATTTATTTCGTTATGACGCACGCAAGCATTTATTCTACAGTACGTTTCATAGTATATTCCCCTTCGGGCTTGTATCTTAGACCCGTATTGAGGAAAAAGAAACTAGCATTCCAGTACGGCATTATAAGCGGATTTGAATTATCTTTGAAAATTATTAATGATCAATTAATCATATATAGTTCCTCGTGATTCATGAAACACCTACTGTTGAGTTTTTTTTACCCCTTTTATGTAGGAGTGTACACTCCTCGGAGAAAATATGTGTTTTACAACATTGTTATATTTAAACCAGCTGCTTATGTCATGAATGTGGAGATAAATCATTTTAATTCTTGAGAAAATGTGGACGTAAATCTATGTTGACCTAGAATACAAATCAAATATTTTCTTGCGATATGTTTTTTCAAGAATTTTATCAATACTTATCCTTCAATACATATATATCTATCTTTTATGTTGATACATATATATTGCCCCTTCTCATAATGATACGGGTTTAAAGTAAAAAACAACTAGAAATGTCAAAAAGAAATCTGAACATATCGGGCTCAGTCCTTTTGATGTGGCTCAAAAAATTCTCTTTACACATGGGTGAAAACGATATTTCAAAAATACACATGGTTGAAAACAACGTTGAGAAACATACTTTGATTATTGAAAATTACAGCCGAAACTTTTAAACTTAGACATCAAAACAAATACTAAGATTGCTTTAAAGTGCTTTAAATATTACCTTTTAAATTTACACTTATCTTATGAAGTAAAAAAAACACTAATAATTGTGCACGTGCAATGGATGTTTTTATAATATATCTTGGTAAAAAATAATCACTGTTTATATTGAAATAATTGTTAATAATGACGACCTGACAAAGGGCATGCTTGTTTAATTATGTTCATTTCCATTTACAAATAGAGCATATTATTTCTATTTATATTTCCATTTCAAAATAGAAACAAAAACTACTAAGCTAATTCATTTCACTCCAAAAAAACCAAAAAAAACGTAAACATTTCGACCTTATCTTTAATTTCCATTCAAAAAATGAACATCGGATAGACAAAAACACTGCAAAATCGGATGTAGCTATATTTTCCATAAAAATAATCAAATCATTTTTACATTGCAAATTACTCGCATTTAAATTGTAATCACACTGTAAATTTTAAAACTTACACTGTAATTACATTGTACATTGTATGTTTCCTTATTACATTGTAATTTTCTAATACACAATATATAGGAGAATAGGGATTAAAAGTAATTTATTATCTACTTAGAAGAGGAAATATGAGAGATGGAAGCATACTTACATACAGGAGCGAGAAAAATCACTTATGGAAAAGTGACTGAAATTAAGTGAAAAATATGGCGTCTTATTTTTAGCAAACCCGTTTATTGTATATGCAAATATTCTTTTATTCCAATTAAAACTCGCAAGGCAACGAACTGTTCAGAAAGGAAATGCTATGTATCGGAAGGGAGGAAACTAAAATAGTGGGTGTGTTTAATTTAGTATTCAACCTACTCTAACGTCGAAAAAATAAGTATTCAACCTAATCTAGTTTTCTCCCGGTCACAAGATACAATAGCTAGAGATAGAGATGTGACACCAAATCTAAACTTTAGGGGCAGTGCTTGTGTGACTAGGTAAGAAAGAGGAAGCACTTTCAAAGGAAAGCGCACTCTCGCTTGGCTTTCTCCTTTCTGCCCTGACAATGTATCTACCGCCAAAAAGTAGCTACCACAGACACCAAGGCCGTCACGTGCACGCTATGCTAAATTGTTTTACTGCCCAAGTGAAGACAATGACACGGGAAATGGACGTGCAGTAGGAAAGAAAATAATAAAAAAAAAGCTTACGTGAGCTGGTTTGTGTGGAGCAGCCTGCCATTGGTGGAGATGAGCGCGTCGAGCTCCTTGTCCTGGTACAGCATGCCGGGGTCCTCCGGCACGGCGGCGCGGCGCTTCCGGAACGCGGCGGCGACCACCTGCGCCAGCCGCGTGAACGGGCTGCCCCCAGGCTTCAGCCTGACGTAGAGCGGGTACCCTGCCACGAACACCACGATGGAGACGAACATGGCGATGGCCGGGATCCCGAACCCCCACCCCCACCCCACGTTCTCCTGGATGTACACCACCACCGTCAGGGCGAGCAGCACCGCGAGCCCCATCGTGAAGAAGTAGAGGTTGAAGTAGCTCCGCTTCCTCCCCGCCGCCGCCGCCGCCGCGCCACCGCCACCCTTCTGCCGCTGCTTCTGCTGCTGGCCGTCGAACTGGTCGGCGCCGAACGCCACCACGCAGGGGCGGATGCCGCCGGAGCCGAGGGACGTGCAGAGCAGGGCGAGGTAGAGCACGGCGAGCTGCCACCCGGTGGCGCGGCGGCACGACGCGGCGCCGTGCGTCGGCGCGCACGGCGCGGGGCGGAGCGAAGGGAGCAGCGCGGACGCGACGAGGGCGAGCATGCCGAGCTGGTAGAAGACGGATCCGGCGATGATGGTCCAGAAGCGGCCGGCGAAGGCGTCGGCGGCGAGCGCGCCCAGGATCGGGGTGAGGCTGGACGTGCCGTTGAAGTTGGTCAGCGTGTTGGACGCCTCCACCAGCGGCAGGTGCAGCTGCTGCGTCAGGTACGTGATCAGGTTCGCGCCGAACCCCGCCGTGGCGAACCGGTCGCAGATCTCGTTCGCTGCAACGGAGACAACTCATGAGATTTTCTCGGCGACAACCATGGATATACACCGATGATTATACACATCAGCTGCAACTCGACCGTTAATTACATCGTTAATTATGGTTAATATTATCGATCAAATTTATTATCAGTTACTCCCTCCTTATTCTAATGTATGACGCCATTGACTTTTTGAACAACGTTTGACCATTTGTTTTATTTAAATTTTTTGTGTAAATATGAAAAATATTTATGTCATATTTAAATAACATTTGTTGATGAATCAAGTCACAATAGAATAAATGGTAATTATATTATTTTTTTAAATAAGACGAATGGTCAAACGTTAGACAAAAAGTCAACGGCGGGCGTCATATATTAAAATACGGAGGTATGACTTCTTGTTACACGGTGTGACTAGACTGAATAGAAATCGGGAAGTGAACGATATACTCCCTTTGGATAGAAGAGAATGTGATACAAGCATTGAAGCATAGGTTCATTCTGGACATACAAAAATTGGCGTAAGCCAAGTTTGTCATGATAAGTGCTTTCATCACATTATCACACATGTATACGTTTTATTTATGTAATCCAATACTCCCTCCGTTCCATATTATAAGAGATTTTAAGTTTTTGTTTATATTGTTTAACCACTCGTCTTATTCAAAAAATTTTAAAATTATTATTTATTTATTTTTACTTACTTTATTATCCAAAATACTTTAAGCACAAATTTTTGTTTTTTATATTTGCACAAATCTTTTTGAATGAAACGAGTGGTTAAACAGTGCAAGCAAAAACTTAAAATCCCTTGTATTATAGGAAGGAGGGAGTAATAAAGTAGCAAAAGTTATGTCTTTTTAATTCCCAAAACAACATAGGAAGGCGTTATTTTGTTACTGATGGGTGCAGTTAACAGTTAATTAACATCACTCTCTCTTGCCGTCAGAAAGAAAAGATGAATAAAAGAACTAGAAACAAACAAACCTACCAAAGTTACTGGCATCGGCAAGGCATCAGATCCAGATTTCCGAGAACTGCGAACCGTACGTTTTCGTGCATAAAAAAAAATAAAATGCAAACCACGGGCAAAGATGTGCAGTAGTTTTGGACGGGATTACCGCCCAGCTTGGGCATCTATATCAGATATTCAGATTGCAACTCACTCTCCCAGAAACTGCGCACTATGCTATCTTGTTTGCTTAATTTGCCGGCTCAATCTACAAGCAGAGCAGCTAGCAGATGCTACTGAGCAAGAGCAGCATCTATCTAAAAGTGAACCGAAAGATCATTTCACCAAAAATTTCTCATATAAGTGAATCCTACAATAAATACTCACCCAGTATGAATGGCATGGTCCTGAAGCCTCCCTGCTTCCTCTTCTTCTGCTCCTCCTCAACTCCATCCCTTTCTGCCGTTGTGGTCGCCATGGCAGAGAACCAAATGCTCACTCGCTCCTTTGCTACTCAAGCACGGAGTCGCTAGCTCAAGAAGAGCGGGGTGGCCAGATGCTACTGTCCTTCACATGCCCCTACATGTACCGGGATGGAGCCATGTATATATAACACACCGAGACTGCAGGGAGAGCTAATAAAGCCCAAGAGAGTCACGGCGTGGCTGACGCCGACCACCCATGATCGTCACCGTACATTGTTACTGTTAGTTCAGAGCATGATTGTTTCAGCTACAATTAACGAAGCAACTAAAAATAACTTATAGATAAAGCATTTCTATATATATTATTAGCTATCTTAAAAACCAATACTAGAAAGAAAATAAAGTTTTAAAATTTAAATTTTAGTTAGACTTACAGGTAATAAGCATATAATGAGAGGTATAATTCAAACCAACTTGGCTGCGTTCTTTAGGGGAGATAGGGGAGATTGTGACTCGTTTTACGCGTGCACGTTTTTTAAACTATTAAACGGTACGTTTTTTTTTGCAAAAATTTTCTATAGGAAAGTTACTTTAAAAAATCATATTAATCTATTTTTAAAATTTAAAATAGTTAATACACAATTAATCATGCGCTAATGGCTCACCTAGCGTATGGTATGGTTTTATTAACAGGTTAAAGTAAACATAAGAAAATGGAGAAGGGCTCTCAGGTAAATCAATAAATCCGGCTTTTGCCAAAAAAAGGAAAAAGAAAAATAAGAGAGACGAGAACATCGACAAAACGAAAACAAAAACAACAATCCGCCGTAGACGCATAGTGGTAGGCAGCAAGTCAACGTTATCCATGGCTAGGTTCTTTTCAGTGCTTGATTGTATCGAGCTTGGAAAAGAGCTTCGAGAAACCTCTAGACATGCCATTTCGAAATCTTATTCTATATGATCCTTTTTGGTAGAGTGATAAATTGCAAAGCACAATTAATTCTCCCCATACCCCACTAACATAGTATTAGTACTTTTTTTTGAACATTTAGTATTAGTACTTCCATAGGCTTTTTGCCACCCACTTTTGAAAGATTAGAGCATGCAAAAGAGCATAGGTGATTAGGTTAGAACCTGGAACCGAGCTCAACACATCCACTCCTAAGCCCAAGACCAGCCCTAAACATAAGTTGACAGGGCTTAGCCGTGACCGAGCGGGCAGGGCCTAATGATCCTCCCCGTCAAGTTCACCCTGAACAATTGCACGCGGCCATCTCTGTCATCCGACACAGCGGCCATTACCTTTTCTTTCACCGGCTGAATTAACACCGGACGAAAGCTTTTGCCGCATCAATCCTCTCCAAGGATTTGCAGCGATCGATCGATGAACGTACACCCGAAGAGGTAAAACCGAAATGGCAATGCGTATCAGCGTGTGCATCGATCTACAACGTACGGGACGCGTCGACCTCAAGATAGGGAGGGAGCACATGATCTATGGGTGGAAACACACGGCACGGGCACGGCTGGTGTGTTATTTCTGAGTCTCTGACGCAGTTACGCGTCTCCGGTGAGAGGAGAGCGAGGCCGTGTCACGTGAGAGGGTAGCAAGGATTTGACACGAGCCTTCCGAAATCAGGGCTACTAGGTGAGGTCCCCATTGTTTGGCTTTTTCCCTAATAAACCAAAACGGTTTATTAAGGAATAAAAATAAATTTATAGGTAAAACTTTTATATATGTGTTTTTGGTGACTTAAAAGTCAATGTTGAAAAAAAAACTACGTTAAAAATATCTTAAAATTAAGTTTGAAAATTTAAAATTTAGCTTATTCTTTAGCTGATTAGGCTATCCCATGAGAGCCTGATAAGCTGCTGCTGTTCATGGTACTAGTGGCAAGTGGCACCACGGCGACTCGGCGGCCACATGCCATGGCGTCTATACGGCCGGTGGCCAGTTGGTTAGGACCGACCGACGCCGACCGAGTCCTGAGTCATACTGTACAGTGAGTACGCTGCATAGGTCCAATAGACCCTAATCTAAGTTAGGGCCACTAAAATCAGCGTTTGATAGGCCCGGTTGTCGCCATGCTATTTAGGACGGTCACTGACATATGGGGTCAACCACTCACGGGCCGACATGTCAGGTGGCTACATCATGTGGGACGTTCCATGAGAGGAACTCTCTTGCTATTTAAGAATGAACCGACCTGGAGCCTTTAAACACAAACCAGAGATCATATATGCAAGTAAGACTGTAATTAACAAGCGAGGAGTGACGTAAGTGATTTCTGGTCTTCTATGTCTCTCACAGTCATAGCAAGTCATGAACTAATCCTTGAAATTCTTTCCTACCCGCTTTTTTATGATAATGAAATGAAACATCCTGACCGCTCAAGAGCTATAGTCAATCTATTATATTGTTAAAGTAATAGAAAAATGAGTTTCCACGTTCGCTCTCATGGCCTAGAAATTCTCATATTAATCGGAGAAAAAGAAAAAACAGAGTTTATATAGAAATACAATTTAGAAATAGTTGAAATTCAGAATTAAAAAATAAGAAATATTAGAAGAGGAGAATAGAGTTCATATAGAAATGCAATTTAGAAAAAGTTGAAATTCGAAATTAAAAATAAGGAATATTAGAATAGAAGACTAGAGTCCATATAGAAATACAATTAGGAAATAACTGAAATTCGGAATTAAAAATAAGGAATATTAGAAGTAGAGTATAGAGTCCATATAGAAATACAATTTAGAAATAGTTGAAATTCAGAATTAAAAAATAAGGAATATTAGAAGAGGAAATTAGAGTCCATATATAAATACAATTTAGAAATAGTTGAAATTCAGAATTAAAAAATAAGGAATATTAGAATAGGAGACTAGAGTCCATATAGAAATACAATTAGGAAATACCTGAAATTCGGAATTAAAAATAAGAATTATTAGAAGTAGAGTATAGAGTTCATATAGAAATACAATTAGAAAATAACAGAATTCAGAATTAAAAATAAAGAATATTAGAAGTAGAGTATAGAGTCCATATAGAAATACAATTAAGAAAAAAAATAGAAATTCAGAATTAAAAAATAAGGAATGTTAGAAGTAGAGAATAGAGTCCATACAAAAATTTAAAACTAACTAAAATTCTAAATAAACATAATAAAACTAAAAGTAGAGTTTAGAGTCCGTATAAAAATAAAATTTCCAAATAACTAAAATTCTAAATTAAGAAAAACATGGGAAGAAGAGTTTAAAGTCAATATAGGAATACAATTTAGAAGTAACTAAAATTTGAAATTAAAAATTAAAGAATATTGAAATATGAGTTTATATAGAAATACAATTTAGAAATAACTGAAATTCGGAATTAAAAAATAAGGAATATTAGAAGAGGAGACTAGAGTCCATACAAAAATACAATTTAGAAATAGTTCAAATTTGGAATTAAAAAAATAAGGAATATTAGAAGAGGAGATTAGAGTCCATATAGAAATACAATTAGAAAATAACTGAAATTTGGAATTAAAAATAAGGAATATTAGAAGTAGAGTATAGAGTCCATATAGAAATACAATTAGGAAATAATAGAAATTCGGAATTAAAAATAAGGAATATTAGAAGTAGAGTACAGAGTCCATATAGAAATACAATTAAGAAAAAAATAGAAATTCAGAATTAAAAAAAAGGAATATTAGAAGTAGAGTATAGAGTCCATATAGGAATTTAAAACTAACTAAAATTCAGAATAAACATAGTAAAATGAAAAGCAGTGTTTAGAGTCCGTACAAAAATACAATTTACAAATAACTAAAATTCAAAATTAAGAAAAACATGGGAAGAAGAGTTTAAAGTCAATATAGGAATACAATTTAGAAGTAACTGAAATTTAAAATTTAAAATTAAAGAATATTGAAAGATGAGTTTAGAGTGCACATAGAAATACAATTAGAAATAATAAAAATTCAGAATTAAAAAAATTATTAAAAGACAAGTATAGAGTCCATATAGGAATATATATAATTTATAAATAACTAAAATTTGATATTAAAAATAATTAATAACTAACACGTATATAAAATACAGTATGAATATTACACATTTGTAGTTTCGTAAAGTTATTGCAAAATTTAAAATTATGTTGTCATTGTAATATATTTTAACAATATAATAAAAAAATATATATGCTATTATATGAGAGAAAATATAATGATGCTAGCCGCGTAATCTGCGCGGGCCACCATGCTAGTTATTGTAATGTTCACAAAAGCAAACTCACACGGTAAGTATGTAGCTGAAGTAACAAAACCAAAAGTAGAAGCAAACTAATAAAAACCAAATAAGCTAAAGACCCCACAACTACTAAATTATATTGGTGAATTTCCACCTGAAATTGACAAAGATCTGCATGATCATCGACTTAAGTTTACGATACACATCTTTTATTAGCTTGATATGATCATCATGCCTTTGTAATTGAGCCCATTTCCGGAGCCAATATGTTGCCCTGAAAAGAACCCGCAAATAAGATTTTAAAGGTGGTCTATCAAAAACCATTTCATTTCTACTAAGCCAGAGAGCCTAACATATAGCGGAAGCTCCAACAAAAATAAGTTCCTTGGTCTTTTTATTAACACCCACAAGCCAATTCCCAAACATATGAGATATACTATGTGGAGGGTATAATCCAAATGTGAATTGTATTGATCTCCAAAGAAATCTGGCAAAATGGCAATGCAGGAAAAGATGGTAAATCGATTCATTTTTCATAAAAAAAAAATCTCAAATTACCATTCCAATTCCTCCTTGTGGTTCAAAAGAAACACAGAAACAACAACCCAGCATGATGGACCATTTCGTTCTGTGCACTAATATTTTTTTTAAAATAGAATTAGCACGAGATTGTGCTATTTCATTGAATATATATAGGGGTGAAAAAAATATAGCCCCTAAGAGTAAGGGAAAAATGTTCCGTACAATGTTTTACGTGTGGCTTATGCAGTTTGGTAGAAACTCCCGAAGCTGCTTTGCACATGCCAAAGCCCAAGTTCTTGCTTTCTCCTTTATTTTTGTCAATAGGCTAGGTGTCGTGGTCTCTTTGTGCTTGAAAACTCGTTGGTTTCTTTCTTTCCAGATCTCCCAAATGACTAGCGGGATTAGGGTGCGCGGGTATTTCTTGGGTACTTCCTTTTT